CACCCAAGTCTATTAACAATCGCTTCCTGTCTATTACCTTCAACCGCCGTGTTGGTGCATTCATTCGGCGTGGGCGGTTTTTTTTTGCGGCTGTTGCACATTTTAATGTCTTGCACTGCTAATTAAGTTGCGCACAGATTGCGCTTTGCAAATCCTTCGTCGGCTGTCGCACAAATGTGCCAGCGCTAATAAATAAGTTTAAGTGCCGCCATGTGCGCGCTGGCAGGCCATAGTATTTGCCACAAGTTGACATTAATGATGACAGCGTTGCAGCAGCAGCCGCGACTGAGGGCTAAAAAGTTGACTGAACGCCCTTGCTGCAGCAGCTGTGAACTGCACGTAGATATTTTTTTAGCAAAAAGGGCAGCACAAACAAAAAAAAAATATTGCAATATAATAAAAAGTTCCGCCGCCTTTTCCCATTTTCCGCCGATTCCTTGCCGGCAACTAGACGTAAGACTTCTTCTCTTCCTTGGCTGCACTTTCGCGTTGTTTATTTAAACCAACCGCCTACTTTTGCCCCGGTGACTGTATGAAAGTTTTATTTTCTCTCTTTCTTCTTTTTTGCTGTTCTTCATTGCTCGTTTCGCAGGTAATAATCGTGTGAATGAATGGCTTCTTTGAATGTGGCGTAACGCTGCGCAGCTATGGGCCACATGGTGCTGTCGAAATTCTTATAACGGTATTAAGTTGTAAAGTTGTGCTTTTATTCACAGCATTTCTGCCTTTACTGAATCTAAGAACTTGCGTGCATGTGTGTATCTTTGCACATAAGTATGTATGTATGTATGTATGTATGTATGTAAAAATATGTCTCACACGAAGTTAACTCCGAATGTCTGCTACGCCAGCAACAGCTTTTCATAAAAATTCATAACCATTACTCGATCTCCTTGGTTGTCTGTGTCTGTGTTTGAGTGCGTAAAATCCTATAATTTACAGTGAGTGATTTAATCGATTGACCGTCGGCGCTCGAAATGAATACTCTGTGTTCATATGTATGTATGTAAGCAGTCCACCATGCACGGCGTATACGTAACATAAATTGAATTGGATGAGTGAGTAAGTAAAAGTACATAGATGCGGCGAAGTGGACAGAATGCAATGCGTCTCGAATAAAATGTGAATGTGAAAATATGAAAATTTCTGAATGAGAATATGCAAAAGTGAAATAAAAAACTTTGGCTGGTAAAAAGAACTCTACTTTTGTAGAAGATAAAGATTTTTCGAAAGTAACTGCCGCTTTAACCAGCAATTTAATTAAAAAAGATTTTTTTTTCTTCTGTCCGTTTTCATATTAAATTTAAATATTAAAAAAAAACACTTTTCATTTAAATGGCTTGCCTAAAACTGGCTATAAATACATAAAATGAATTGAGAACAAAAAACCGGCACAAAAAAAGTTTTCTGTACTTTTGATGAGACCTACTTTTATTTTTTTTTTGTATTTTGACGCTCTTAATCCAAATATTTAGTCGGTTTGGCCTAAATGACGAAACAGCGAGAAAAACCGCAATTTCGTTTCAATTTACATGAAAACTTTAGGGCGAAATGACAAATTTTCAACATTTGAATAAATCTTAAAATTCTCAACTCACTTACATACATAGCTTCGTAGTGGTAATTTCTGAAAACTATTTCAGTAAACTTGCAATGCTAATTAGTTCATTATCAAATAAACATAATTGGCATACTGGCCCGCATAAAACTTTGTCCATCCAACCAAGCAAACAAGCCAACAAGCCAACAGACATGAACCAGTGATGTGACAGTCAGTTAACACTTTAATTAGCCATTGTTGTTCAAATAGTTAGGCGAAATTTGTTGATGCAACTACAAGCATTGAATGCAATTAAAGTTATTGTTTTTGTTGCCATAGTTGCTAAAGCGAAAATTACAGTGTTTGTTAACAGATGATGGGACGGTTTTCGTATCGCCTACAGGAATGGCATTCAACATCCAAAGCAGCAAATAATATTTTCATTTTTTATTTTTATTTTATTAGAAACGTTTCTCAGCTAAGTTAAACAGTTTGTATGGGTATACGCCACGCCTATTTAAAAATACTCTGATTCTGTTGTAATTAAATTTTGACGTAGAATACGTCTTACCTTAAGGTATGGGGGCTATGTTCAAATGTTGTAGTTGTAATTTTTAGAGCTTCACAAAAACGCTTATTGCACGAGAACTAATAAAGCGATTTCAAAGAAAAGTGTGGCGTTTCAAAGATAAAATTCCAAACCTGTCGACAGATTCATTTTTGTAAATAACCAATTCGGTTTCTGTCGTAAAAACAACGGTAAACATTGCCTTATTTTGGGGTCAATTTTGAGCCTTTAAAGTGCTCTAGCAACTTATTGTTGGCATATATAACTTTCATTTTCGGGATATAGGTTCTTTGGAGCAGTAGAAATATTATCGGATACAAATTTTATATGAATTTAACAAATATTGAGCATTTTAAGGCAAAAAATTGTTGAAAAAATTTGCAAATTTTTTTCATTACCAAAATGCTCGAAAACCGTTTGAATGATTTTGTTTTTGTTTTCTTTAATCAAAAATTCAAGAGTTTTCCTTTCGTTTGGTATGTGGGAAGTATTGGTTGATATCTTCTATATATGTTTATTTTATTCAAATATATGGGCATAAATGATTTTCCATACAAAATCACCTCGTCATCATTTTGCAAACACGTGCATATGTTGGAAGTGTGGGAAGGAGACAAAAAGTATGTATGCGTATGTAATGCGGCTTTTGATCGCAGCGTATGTACATATGTAAATGCATATATACGTACATATGAAAGTTTCAGTTAATGTGGATCTGTTTGGTTTTGTTATCGATATTTTTATCGATTTTGTTATCGATTTTGCTATCGATTTTGTTATCGATATTTTTATAGATTTTGTTGCCGATATTTTAATCGATTTTGCCATCGATATTTTTATCGGTTTTGTTACCGATATTTTCACCGATTTTGTTATCGAAATTTGTATCGATGTTGTTATTGATTTTGCTATCGATATTTTCGGAACTTATCGGTATAATGATCGATATTTTTATCGATTTTGTTATCGATTTTGTAATCGATTCTGTTATTGATTTTATTATTGATTATTTATCGGTTTTGTTATCGATATTTTTCTTGATTGTTTTAACAATTTTGCTATCGATATTGTTATCGCTTTTGTTATCGATATTTTTGTCGCTTTTGTCATCAATATTTTTATCGATTTTTCTATAGATATTGTTATCGCTTTTGTTGTCGGTATTTTTATCGGTTTTTTTACCGATTTTGCTATCGATATTGCCATCGCTTTTGTTATCGATAGTTTTATCGATTTTTTTATCGAATTTATTACCGATTTTGTAATGGATTTTTTGATAGATTTTGTTATCAATTTTGTTATTGACTTTGGAATCGATTTTTTATCCATTTTGTAATCGATTTAGTTAACGATTTTGTTGTCGATATTTTTATCGATTTTGTTATCGATTTTATTATCGCTTTTGTTATCGATATTTTTTTCTTAGTTTGTGCTTTCGTTTTTGACTTGGATATGCTCTTAACCATACCACGTATTCTACGTTTAAATTTAGCGGGTGTATCTCCGATACAGCCTGCAGACCAAGACGAAGGCGCTGGACTGTTCCTTTTTTTATAGTTTTTAGAGAGTAGCAGCAATAGAGTTAATTTCCTGTATTAGCGTTAATTTGCCTTCTTTCAATTGCGAAATTTAAGTATTTGTTTGTAACTAAATTTCACTGCGAAAAGTCTTAGCTTGCAGAGGAATATAGCGAGAATAACAGAGAAAAATTTGAAAAGCATTCATTCAGTTAATATGATATTCTTCTACATAATCCTGAGGATAATACTCCTATATGGAGTTCTTTCAGTATATCCACAAAGTTATATTGAAGAAGTCGACAAAATTCCAAAAACCAATTTTTTTGTAGAGAGTGCTAGAATACAAGATTCTAATCGCACTTTGAACAAAACTTTGTTTGAGAAAACATTAGAAAATTACTGAGAATTTTCAATTGTGTCGTTATTAAATAGGACCATCGATATGTATATGGAAAATAGAAATTCGAGATAAGCGACCTCTAAATCTTAATATTAAGGGGAAAGCGTCTTTTTACACGGTCCCGAAAATACTTCTTACGGGATAAAAAAGATAGTCGATTTGATTAAATAAGTCTAATAGATATACAGGGAACATAGAAAACATAAAGACATTTTCAAGTAAATTATAAAGTTCCAACATTTTTTAGATAGAGTTTGTTGACTTTTTTCACTTCAACGGAGTTTTTTTTAACAATTTTAGTGAGCTTGAGGACGTATCCAAATGAAAAAATATTGTGGAAAAACAGACAAATTTTTCCAAAAATTTTCATTTCACTTCCAAAGAGTGTTTCCAGAATAGAACCAGGTTTTAATTGATTCGTAAAAAAAGTACCCATTTTTACGTGGAATAAACTGTACTTTCAATTCATAACTATTTAATAGAAAAAATGTCTTATCAAATTCTGCACAACCTGCAACCATAGACAAGGGAAAAATTCAAAAAATACGCAGATTTTTTTAATATTTTCAATTTGATTTTTTCCAAGAGTCTCCCAAAATTTAACCTAAAATGACTTTATAAATAACTAAATCTATAAGTTTTTAGTCTTTGGGGCCACGCAGAAATAATTTTTTTATGAATAATTTGAGAGTTTTAGGATCCCGAAAAATTTATATAAACAAAGTTTTGTAAATTAATTTCACAACCGGATCTATGACCTGTACTCAGTTACAAATATGAAGATGTCGCACTACCTTTCCCATACAAAATCTTAGCTTGTAACTAAGCTTTGAATTAACTAAAGTCAAAGATTAACTTTTTAAGAACAGCACAGCGTAATCAATTACCCCATTACTCTACTTCACGCTCGATCACATACATTCCATTGCGCACAAGCATACATATATGTATATGTATATATTATTCACTTACCTCTTTAGCCTTGCAATGCAACGTATCATAAACCTCTGGCCTGCCCTCGATATTCTTCAGTCGTACCGGCTTGCGTATAAGTATGCTGCGCCCCTCCTCGTCCACGTGTATAAAACTGCCGGCACGCGCTCGAAAATCCTGCGACATTTTACGCTGTCCCTGATTCTTCGGTGTGGGCGAGAGCTCACGTGCCTTACCGCTGCTGCCGCCGCCGCCACTGCCACCTTCCGCAATTACGCCCGCACCACCTCCACCGCCGCCCACCACTGAGTTGCGCCCAACAAGAATTGGCGAATTTTTAGCGCTATCTGTGCCGCGCCCCGAAATGCTCTGCCTCTTTGCGTAATGCTGTCGATTGGGTGTATTGTTGACGCTGTTGCTGCCACCTGGCACCATGGGTGTTGCAGCTGCATGCTGTTGCATTTGTTCTTGCGGCTCCTTAATGTGTATTTGTGACCGTTTGCCATTTTCCAATTCGTTGCGCTTTTCCGGTGTTGGCGGCGACGAGTTCGAGTGATTCGTTTGGATTTCGTTGTTTGCTATTGCATTGCTATTGCAAGCTGTGTGTTGTTGTTGCTGTTGTTGTTGTTGTTGTTGTAGTATTTGTTGTTGCTGCTGTTTTTGCTGGTGCGTTGGCGTACTTGGCGTACTTGGCATACGCTTGGCAGCCACCAATCGCAAATTTTCGAATATCGCACTAAAGTGCGACATTTTGCCGAAACGACGACGAAACGCGCCACTCACTTAGCCACCGTAGTCACACCGTAGTTTGGCCCACACTTTGTCACTTAATTGCTCAGTTTTGTTTGATTTATTTTTTGTGTAGGTATTTTATTTATTTTAATTATTTGCATCGTTGTAGGTTTGGAATTGCAATCTGGTTGTGCAATCTATTTGAAATGAAATATTTGTCTTTGTTAACTGAAATTAACTTTATTCACTTAAAATTGTTGCTATTCAGTATATCAATTCCGATCTTCCTTAGTAAAGATTCGTTTATTATAAGCGAGTTTTTTTTTACTTCTCAACAACTCCTGGAACTGCAGCTACTCTTACCAACACTTTTCGCTTTCATACATATAAAGGTCTTAAAGGTCACCTGCAGGCTGAGAAATCATGTTGAGTTCGCTGAGATTGAATATTGGCCAAATACGGCCACTGAAACCGGACTTATACATTGTCTCTACTGATGGTCCCAAAACTGACACTGAGTCAGTATTTGATGTTTATATAGTAAACATCATAGCTCAATTTTTGTGCTCTAGGTGCCACGTCCCTCGGGAGCACCTGTTCATGAAATATCTGACCGTTTACCTACAGAGGTGTCAGGTCTAGTACCACTTACTCTGCAACCAGTTATAGCACTCTTAACTTCGGAAGCCACTGTTAGAAACTAATTCGCTTAGGAATGACAGGCAGACATGGGCGAGTTCACCTTCAGCCCACTGCCCTCACTCTGAATGATCAATTTTCGCGGCACAAATAGACGACTGGGATCAGTATAAATGGCTACCCCATTTTCCCTCGCTGCCTTGAAGGTAGAAAGAGGTTTGAACCCTATTTTTATCTCTGTGGTACAGATTTAAAAATACATGAAGGAGGTACGTTAAGTGTTTTTTTCTGCAATCGTTATTTTTGTTTATTTCAAGATTTTACTTTAACATTTTCAGTTGAGTCAGACCGACAACAATAAATAAGTACACACTCGTATTGAAAAAGATCATCTAAGAACGGAATTTTTTTATACTAACAGATTGATTAAAAACCTATATATGAAAATAACGGGTATAATATGATCGAAAAAATCAAAACACAGCGATCAAAGTGGTATCGAAAAAATAGAAATCCAAATAAAAAACGATTAAATAAAAATCATAAATTAAATTGATCAAAAAAACAGTAATGTAATGTTTACTGTTATGATTTTTATTTTGAATATATTAACCGTTACGTTCCTGTTCTTAAGCTCTTCTTCAATTATGTTAATTTTTGGAGCTCATAACCACATTGTGTGGACCCGTATATTAAAGCCAATACAGAAACAGAACTTCAAGGGAACCTTCAGAGTCGATTTTACAGCCTGGCGCCAATAGTCAAAACTGCTACCGGAGCATGAAATAAATTTGTGATCGTTTTTATCTTATGTACATAAGATTGAAGCTACACTCAAGGCCCTCTCATTATTCGAGGCCAAGTTCTCCTTTCTTCTTGAGTGCATTGATAGGCTGAACGTTCTGGTGGAGCACAATGATATCCAACTAATTTAGGGACCAGGTCACATAGGAGTTGGGGGTGACGAAGAAGCATACCATCTCACCAAAACGGCGACCGCCTTGACTCCTATAGGGCCGAAGCAAAGCTTACTATCGGACCTAGGATAAACAAGGAAGTGTTCAGGAAGGAGAGGATCAGACTCGAAGAACAACACGGGAGTAACACCGTAGATATACGCGAGGTTATATGCTTACTGGGAGGCTACAACCTTACAAGCTATATGGCAATAATAAGAGGTTTTCTGACGGGGCACTGTGGACTAAAAGGAAACCCTTAAAAGCTAGAGATCAGGTCGAACGACCTATGTCATTTCTACGAGTCTATCAAGGAGACGAGGGAAGTACCTAGGCCAACTTTAGCCATGCGTTGAATTTATACAATCACCATCCACTGAATATCTCTTCCAATATCTGGGATCTTTAGGGTTGGATGAGGTACTAGGTAAGGTAATAGATCTCTTGGTCGCAGTGTATACCTCTATATAAATTTATTTATTTATCTATGCATGTCAAATCGATAAACACGAATTTTCAAAAGAGCACGACTCGAGCGCCATCTGGCGATCTTACTTTTTGGATATACATACATACATATATTTGTTCTAAACTGTTTACAACCTGAGCCAAAGTGTATCATAAGTACAAAATCGTGAGTTGTATAAAAAGTCTCATGGAAATAGGCGCTTCCAGTTTTTCTAAAATTTTTAAATTTCCAGTCAATTTTTCCAAATTGTTTTTCCGTACGAAATTCATTAGGATTATATCCAACGAACTGTTTAAAACATTAGCCGAAAGCATTCAGTCGTTTTCAAGAGATGATCTTACAAACATACAATATGAAATTTTTAATTAGTTATGTATGTATATACATTTAAGTTACTATTAGTTGATCATAAGACTCCTTAAAATTCATGTGAAACACTAAACATTAGATTCCTTCGTTAGAAAATAAGTTAAGACCCCCGTTATTATGTGGAAATGAGTTTCAAGGTTACAATTAATCTTAGCTAGTTTAGCATTCAAAGGGCAATTGTGTTTCTATAATAATTACATAAAACCAAAGCAAATTATGCCTACTACCATCTTAAATTTAAATCTTAAGAATTTTGCACATAGTTAAGATACGATTGAATTTTATACGCCGCTTAACTCATTAAAAGGCGAAAGCCAAATAGCAAAGTTAGAGAATCAAATTTCGTATAGATACTACAAGAGTTGCTATGTACACAAACCTATAATAAAAAGTTTCAACCTCAAGTATTTATTAAGAACATTCTTTAGTTCACTTAAGTCGAGCAACCGGTCAGCTACGCAAAGCTACCTGACTTTAGTGATTACAAATTCAATTACCTAAACGTACACCATTAAGCACCTTAAAGTCTTTTTTGTTCAAATATTAAAGTCCAGCAACAACTTGGCGCGCCCAACATGCAGCCAATAGCATTAAATTAGCATTAAATTTTGAAAGATTCATCCACTTGATGCGCGTAGTTTTATTTTACGGTATTTTTGTGTAACGCAGGAGTGCTCTGCCAACACTCAAACACCAAAATGGTTAAGTACTTACATAAGTCTGTAAGTACCGGAGTACATATGTAAGAAGCTATGTACATACATACATAAGTAGCGCATCCCAAACACTTCGAGTATATTTTACAAACAATAAAATTTTAAAATCGTCATTTACATAAATACCTACATACATACATACCTACATACATATTTACAGACTTTTCTAGCTGCCAAAGTTGAAAGTTTGTAAACCGCAATTTTGTTCACCAATTAAAAGTGACTCAGCCTAGGGCTTATGTTCTTAGTGGAGCAAGTTGCTTTTTTTGTTGTTGTTGTTGTAACAGTTGTTTTTGTATTTTAAGTAACTTGCTACTTTTACGCTTATTTATTGATATTTACGTATGAATGTATGTACATATGTACATATTTATGTATAAGCAGTGCTCACCTTTAAACTCGTGCTTAACTGTTCAAAGTATTTTGCCGACACTGAACGTTTACGACGCCTTAATGTATGCACTTAATTACATTAAACATCGCGCGCGCGCTCTAACGATAGCGTTTTGCCAAATCGCTTAGCTGCGCTGTAACCTCACTCAGTGTCTACGGCATCGCCCTACCCTGCCTTTGTTTCTACATACAAATTAAATACTTAATCAGCAAACTCAGTAGTGATCAGAGTGAATGGGTTGCTAGGCAATCGGTTGCGGTTAGTGTGTGGGTGGGCAAATGTGCGTCGTACGAATTTGCATGAAAATACGTACGTACATTTGTCTACATAGCACTCTAAATTCAATTAATTGTGCTCAAGTGCTGATGAATTATGAACATGAAACACTTGATTTCATTTTTGTTTAATTTACCTGTATTTCGGGGGCTTGAATACGTCAACGGTTACTGTGACGCTGATACATTTCTCAGTTTAAATATATTCTCGAAATTATTTTGTCATATCGCAGATGCTACTTAATTTGTTAATGCCCGCAAACTTAGTGTCGCTCACGCGTAAGTATAAACTAAGACTATATGTACTATATATTGATATGTTTTCTGTCTGTAATTGAAGGAATTTTTAGAATTCGAATTCATTGCGTTGGACCCGAAACTCTTATTAGTCTCTCCGGTGTTATACCCAGTAGAGAAGCTGCTGAATGCTAAATAATTTGTAGTTATGACAGTAGTCATTTTGACGAGATTTTTCATCACGTGGGATAAGAACTGTATTTTTCTGTTACATTGTTCGCTTACACTTTTGCTAGGTGTTTGGCTGAGCTTCTCCTCCAGTTTGTGGTGAGCCTCCCCTGATGTAATAGCACAAATGGAGGGACGTACACTTTTACACAGGCTCCGAATGGCAAATGGTTTTAATGAGAATATTTTTCAAGCCAGAAACCCACGCGGAGGTTTTGACATTGCCCACCGGCGGGCGACCACTGTTAGAAAAAGCGTTTTCAAATTTCAGGGATCGAACCCAGGTCCTACGCAGTGGTTGTACGCACCTCTAAATATATTTTCTGCTATCCGGAGCCTATGTAGGTGAGGGCAGGCAGCTACCAACTCATTCATCTTCTCTCTTTTCTTTGTTCTCTCTTTCCTTTTATCCTTCTCACGTTTATGGGGGTGTATGTAGAACAAATTGTGGTATCTTTGAAATTTCCCACTTTACGAAGCTCAGCTGAGTATAAAATTTTGCTTTTACAAAAATTTTATTTGGTGAACTAATTTGGCCACTCCGTTGAAGACCTTTTACCCGTGTTATTGAGATATGCATAAAAGCGTAGACAGACGTGGGATCGAGTCCCAGTCTAATTTTTT